AAAGTGTTTTTTTGTAAAAAAATTTCAGTGAAAAATTTTTAAAAACTAATGCCAGATTTCAATTCCTCGACCCGAAAAACTTTTGGTCAAACTTTATAAAAAAATCCTTTTTTCGTAAAAAAGTGTTTTTTGCAAAAAAAATTGAGTTAAAAATTTTTAAAAACTAACACCAGATTTGAATTCCTCGACCTCAAAAACGTTTGGTCAAACTTTATAAAAAAACACTTTTTTCGTAAAAAAGGTTGTTTTTGCAAAAAAAATTTGAGTAAAAAATTTTTTAAAAACTAATAGTAGATTTGAATTCCTCGACCCCAAAAACCTTTGGTGAAACTTTATAAACAAACACTTTTTTCCTAAAAAAGTGTTTTTTTGTAAAAAAATTTCAGTGAAAAATTTTTAAAAACTGATGCCAGATTTGAATTCCTCGACCCCAAAAACCTTTAGTGAAACTTTATAAAAAAACACTTTTTTCGTAAAAAAGGTTTTTTTTGCAAAAAAAATTTGAGTAAAAAATTTTTAAAAACTAATAGTAGATTTGAATTCCTTGACCCCAAAAACCTTTGGTCAAGCTTTATTTTACGTGTTGAAATGAATCACCCTAGTGCTACTATTACTGAGCGAACATACGAACATACGAACGAACATACGAACGAACGAAGATAGCTCACTCAGCGTATGACCCTCCTTTCAGTAGAGGGAATAGACGAATAAATCAACATCTTTGAAAACACCTAATAAACGTGCACCATCAGTATCTTGCCACCAATGATCAAATCTAATAGGTCTTTTATGATTCGGGTTTTGTTGTCTAAAATCTTTTTCAATTGTTTTAAAGAATAACATAACTAATTTAGCAGCTGCTTCGTTCGATTTCAGTTGATCCTTGTTCCTTATTTCGTTTCTTTCATTTCGATGACGATAGGTTCGATTATGAATTATTAATGATCCATAATTGTTTTAATCCTTCATTCCAAAAACACCGCGAGTACGACGATTTTTTGAACTTTGCATGTTATTAATATCTCCATCAATTAAATTTATTCCTTGTTTGTTCGGTGTTTCGGTTCTGATATCACTTGAAATAATATTTCTTCCATCTATATCCATATTTGTTTGATGTTCCATGACTTGTCCGTTCATTGTATTAGATGTCATATCGATTCCATTGTTTCCACCATTACATGGATGATCTTGAATTTGTTGAGTCCTACTGGCTAATCCATTAAGATTTACTATTGCTTCTTTTGGATCCATCTGCACTTGTTCATACATGATCAAATTCGTTAATTAACAATATTTAATATTTAATATAATATTATGAAGAAAAAATAGGTATCGAAAAAAAAAATGGTCACGTGTACGTACACGTGCTCGTATATGTACAAGACGTGAAAAAAAATTGATAAATTTTTATATATACGTCCTATCACTAGATGGTAGAAGAGGTGAAGAATGATTCAAAATGCAGAATGAATGAATAGTATTGATAAATTGACTGTCGACCAATTGTTTTATTCGTTTGATCAAATGTAAAGACTAAAATCACGAATGAATATCATCTGCATCAGCACGATCATCTGAATAAATGACGCAACTTCATCGACTGCTCATTTCATCCGTTTTCACGCATCGAAAAGGCAATAATTTTTCAAAAGATTCAACAACGGATTCAAGAAACACTCTACTTGTCTCACTAACTCTATTCAATTACGAAAACAGAAAATTGGAATCGTCGAATATATCACTCACAGGTGGAGATGTACGTCTTTTTTTCCTTGTGCAAAAAGTTAACTTTTTTTGATGTGAATCAATTGAGTAATAATAAATATATACAATTCATATTGAATGATCAACCTCTAAACCCTTGTTTCTTCTCACAATTGCGATCTTTATTTGTTAATGTAACAATTTTCAATAATTGTTTTTGTTTGCTTGATGATCGTCTCTGATGAATCGTCTAAAATGCCATGTACTTAACGAACAAGAAAGACTTGTTTACATAATCAATACTATCTCTTTTTATAATTGTATGACCCCGTGACTTTTTTTTTATCTATACTTTTTTCTTTCTGCATAGGAAAGAACAAAGAATAAAAAAGCGTTTATGACCGACGAGTTTGATATGTATGCACACTCAGTTACCTTGATAAGCTGAATAGAAGCAAA